GGACTCCCCCTAGCAGGCTCGCGCCTGCGGCGCTCGCTGACGGACGGCGCCCGAAATCTTGCCCCCCCCCCCCCAATCAAGATTTAAAATACTCGGTGGTTGTGTAGTGATATTGCCCCCGTTCTGGCAGGTGACATGAGTGGGTTAGGCCACGACTAGGAAGCCAGTATCCACAGCATAATTTTATAATATTTGTAAAATGTTTCTTCCTCTATCGCCATGGCTCAGTGGTTATGAAAAGGTTCATCGTCACCTATCGCCCGGTGCCTTCGGCAGCCGCCGGTTCGCACCCGATTTCGGGTGATTTTGGCACCCGCCAGAACTTGTCCTCACTCCAAAAAAAACTCCTGGGTCTACCGCATATGCGCTTATCAACACAAAGTCAATAGTTTTGACGTAGAACTATTAGTTGCTGTGTTTTAGACGGTCGGGAATCCTCATGATTTAACGTAATTCGTAATCAGCTCTGAGAATTTAAAGTAATTCGTAATCGGCGGCGAAAATTTGGCGTAATTCGTAATCAATACCCCCCCTTGCAGGCCCTCTGTAATGTGTGTTTAGTTGTTGCATGAAAATTGGTTAAACTTTTTAGTGAAAATATTTTTTGATGGACAATGTTCCAGGGTACACTGTCAGGACCAGGTACCAGTGGTGGACCGATGTGTGGTCCTCAGGGAGCATTTATATGCAGCAGTCTGCACTGTGAACTCTGACAACGCAGACAGAATTACTGAGGAACTGCTGGAACAGGAAGAAACAGGAGTTTTTAGGCTGCTGCAGGACAGACAATTGTTGGAAACTGCAGTTCAAGAAGCACTTCACAGAATAGAAGGGTAGGTTGTCACTCTAATTGTGGGGGTAAGTGGCGTATTGACAGAGTATTCGGCTCAGAACCAAGAGGTCCCGGGTTTGAATCCTGCCAAGTCACCTACCTTGTGCCCTTGGAAAAAGCACTTCACATGATGACTTTCCTCACTTGAATCGCTCAGAGGAAAATGAGTATGCCAGAATGATCATTATCAACCAACCAAACCAAAGTGATACTTTGGTACAGTAGGGAGAATAGAGGCAATAGGAAAGTCTTAGTACCCTTCCAAAACTTCTTTTTCTTTTATTGCTGGAATGATTTTCTTGTACCTTTTCTTTCAGGCAGTCATCTAGATCTGGTACGGGTTCATCTCAATGTGTGGACAAGGAAGATGTAGGAAACATTCTGTATGAAAAGGTGGAAGAACTGCAACCTGATATGTGTGCAAAGATTACAGGTACTTCCTTTTGTTTTTGACATTTCAGAGGTTTTTACTTTGCATTCATTTCTTTGCTTCGAGAATTTAAGCCGTTCTAATATGCAAGTGTGCTGTACCCAGATCTAGAATTTCTTACCTATATATAGTTATTAACTGTTGTCTTTCTGCCCTTCAGGGATGTTACTAGAGTTACCAGAAGACACACTACAGACACTGCTAGCTGACAAGCAGGCCTTACAGTCAGCTGTCCACAGAGCTGTGAAGGCTGTACAAGGAGGGGAACAGCATGGCGCTGTCCACGAGTTACAGCTAGACTCAGATAAACAGGAAATAGGGGAACAGTTGTTTGATATCGTGTGTGAACGATATGAGGAGGATGCTCCCAAAATTACAGGTAAGGTCCTGGCAATGGACTCATCTGTGTGTGTGTGTGTGTACGGAAAATCAATAGATTGGTTGGTATTCGTAATGTGCCTAATGATAATCTACATATTTTGTATCAAACATGATTAAAATAAACAATTTTACACAAATTAAGCAAAAGAACTATACTTTCATTTTTGTTTATTCCTTGTATTGCTTATATACATAAGCCAAATGAGTTTTGAAAGATCGAATCTTTCAAGGTTGAATGGTTCTCGAAATTTAAAGTTCATGTCTAGTATGTAGTAACGTTACCTAAATTTTAGATACTGCAACCTTGTATATGTGCAAAAATATCAACTTTGCATACTTCTTGTCACACTTCTCATGCAGGAATGCTGTTGGAGATGGAAACTACCACTCTAAGAAGACTGTTGGAAAGTCCTGAAGAGCTGAACGAAAAAATTAACCAAGCCTACAATGCTCTTTGTAAAAGCTAGAAATGAACATGTCCTTAGCTGCAATTATTGGTAGAGGTTATGGTGACTTAGGGTGAATTAGGGTACATGTATTTGTAATTTAATCAGTGCAGAAGAAAGTCTTGAAAATATGAATTCAGTACAATTACACTTACATGTTATTGTACGAAAGGTTATTGAGTCTTACATATGGGCGGATGCATATTTTATTCCACCAGTGTACAGTATATATATTGTACATTTTCTATACTGTGAAGCTTTGTTTGCTGTTTACATGGACGTAGGAGAGCTTATCATGTTAAACATATGTGCAATAAAGTCATTCTTAAGATTGAAATCTGTATGTCTTTTTTTCGAATATTGAAGGATTATTGGCTAACTGCTGTAGGACTAATGATGGAGGTCTAAATAAACCAAACCAAACACTTAGACATTGTGTTAACAAATGCATTGTTGTTCTGAAGACAATGTTGCTACAGTCATTGTCATCTCTGCGTATTCATTGATACATGTAATGAAGTAAGATACAAAATTGTACAATCCATTAGTAAAAGTCATTGGCACAGATTAGTTTTCCTCCAATTTCACATAGTTGGATACTGAACTTTGTAGCCCCCACCACCACAAGTTTCTTGCTACATTGATTGCTTCCTTGTAACATTTCAATACATTTGTGTATGTATTTTACTATTTATCTCTCAAAGACAGTAGAAACCATAAAAAGTTAAGCCTCTGTTGCTATCTCAGTCAAATTTCAAAATTGTTACCTCGAGCCCAGGCTAGCATAAACCCAGTGGTACAATGGCTTATTACAATCATGATAAATGAAAGTGTTCAATGCCAAACTTAAGTCACTTTGTACAAATCACTTTACAGTATATAAGAGTTGTAACATTATAGTCAAAAAGACAATAGTCAAAAAGACTTTCAGCTAGTAATTACATTGTGCATATTGTGAATACAGCAGGTTCATTTGATGAGCCTACAAATCCTAATAGATTCATAATATTTTAATAACAGTTCATAACATTTATTCCTGCACAAATCAATGTTATCAAATCATTCAATGAAATGTCAATGGTGGTAACACTACAGCAAAGTTGGTTTGAGCCAGAAAGGATAGATCTCTTCACTGTTACACATACTAAGTTACCTTAAAACATATCTTATGGTCCCATTGAATTTCACTTCTTAATCAAACACTAGTAAACAACTCTATTCTTTGCGTACGTCATAAAAGTAAAATAGAACTTCAATGGACCGATCCCATAGCCCTGTCCACCTCCGACAAACAGTAGAATTGCAAAATAAAAACATAAAAATGCAAATATTTCATGGACGTGCAGCCACTCTCTCATTGGTTAAACTGTGGTTATACTACCATGCTATCATTGGTTGATCTGTTAACTGATGGACAGTTAGGATCAGTCTATTGTAAGCTGGTAAAACGGGTAAGAACTGGTCTAACTTTCGAGATACATAAACAGGCCAGAGATGACCACTGCTATGCCTGCTCCGATCATTGTACCTGTGAATAAACGAATCAACAGTTGGTCAGGATAGAATACAAGGTACATCAACATGTACATTGCTTACAGCCTTATAAATTACATTCATCTAAAAGACAAAAACATATAAAGAGATGTAATAGACTGTACATTGTACCTGTACAAGATGGAATAGAAATGAAAGATTACATTTTCAATGTTGTTTTCCAACTGAAAATGTGATTTGGGAATGGAGCACATTTTATGTTGGAACAGCCCCTCCCCCCCCAAAAAAACAACATTACTTACCAATATAACTCTTCTTCCACTTTTCCCATGATGCCTGAGCATTGATCACCTCTTCCCCATCTGTTTCTTCCTCCTCTTCCTCTCCCATCAGCCCACACATCGGCTTTTCTAGCTCTTCTGGTTCTAAAATGGGACAAAATTGAGGTGAACAGACAAGTTAGCCTTCCATCAGCCCACACACGGGTTTCTCTAACTGGCCACTATGGACAAGATTCTGGATGCTCGGGTCTATGGGAAAAAGACAATTAATCTATGAATGTGGCCAGGTTTACGTTATGGAGTCAGTCACTAGTACAAGCTTGACTGTGGGTCCATTCCTTCAGATTACTGTAATTATTTTTTTCTAGTTACTATACTTATATGTGTGTTTTTTGCAGTCACTCCTGTACTGTGAACATTGATAATTTGCCGACTTTCTTTTTGCTGCTGCCACTGCGGACGTATAGTTCCATGAACACATCCATTTTTCTCAGACTGTGATCTTTTGCTATTGTGAACATAATTCAGTACCAGGTAGTCTCTCAGCATCAGTCTCTACATCCTCAGCTGCCAGGGTGACATCTAGTAGTTCCTGACACCTGGCGATACAGTCCTCCACACCCTCATCCTCAAACATGTAGTCACACACCGACATGTGGGTGTCATGGAGCCGCCCAAACACACGCCTGGGGGTGATGTCCATCTCCTCTAATGACGGGGAACAAAAATCAAAGTCAAACTACCTTCTGTAGCTAGAAAAGTCAATAATTGTTCTTCAGAAAAGCAGTGATTTCAGTACAATTCTACAAGGAAATCCACATACACATGTATCTATAGACTCATGATCTCCACAATAATAAACATGAGTGAAAATCTCAGCTAGGTTTACACCAGTAACAAATTGTACTTTAAAGTTCCTATTATCCTAGGTCTATGTTTTATAGTTACATGTTTTGGGCATTTTCTACATCTTTCTCAAAATATGACTTAGATTTAGATTTGAATACATAGTTTACCTCGATCTGCTGTAAAGTCCTTAACTTCCAACACATCCTCAGCAAGTAGCTCACATCTAGCAGTCAGGCTCCTTACTACATCTTCTCTTATTGCCTGCAGACAGATACATGGTTGGGAAAAATTAAATCAGTAAATCAGTCTGTCCTTGGTAGAATTTACAAACTGTGATTGTAAATGCTGCTGGCTTGAAAAGACTATGCTGTGAAGTAAAAAACGTTAGAGGTGTCATTACCTTATAGAGGCCGAAAAATATAGTTTCTTGTGGTACAATGTACATTGTATACTAGTATGTTTCTTGTGGTATACTAGTATGTTTCTTGTGGTATACTAGTATCTTACCTGTGATGCCTGTGCCACAGTTGCCTTGCTGTGCACGTATGCCCTAGCTTGGATGAGTCCCCGAATAAACACAGTTCCTCCACATTCTGTCACCATTGCCTCTTTTGACTTGTTACTTGTCTATAACAATGAGAAAAATACTTTATGATTCTACAAAGGTAAATCTAATAAATGCTTTTAATACACCAGCATGGAAATCTAGCAAAGAACAAATTATCTCAGATATAAAAAGCAAGCTTTCTCTTTAAAAACATATGCTATGGAACAAGTATATGCTGAAAATCCAGAAGAAAAGTGAAGATTGTGTAAGATTTTTCCTACTGCATTTGAAAGGATCTGCACACAGAACATCTCAGGACCATCACTGGTGGGCTGATGGGACATCTTAGTCTCCTTATGTCTTCCCTTTCCTTTACCCTGATAGTATAAAAAATACTGTCAATACATGGCACTTTATTTCATGGCACAGTGAAAATCAACAGCTCTCTGTATGTGTTTCTTTGAGTTCACAGCGAAAGCATATGTTTGCAGTTTGTAGCTTTGAGAGGTCATGGAAAACATAAAATTATAACATATTTAACAATCTACTGCAGAATATATATGATTTATGTTGGCCTAACAATGATACACATAATCATAATCAGAATACTAAGTATGATATGCTACAATGCATAATAGTATACATGATGATGATTGAAGACATACATGTCCCTTCTTGCTCTGTGGTGGTTCCTGTGCCTGTAGAGGTTGATCCTCCTTCCTCAGTACACCATTGAAGGTACACAAACCCTGCATGATGCACTCACAGAATGGACCAATGGAAGTCTGTAGAAATGAATAGTGTACAAAATATTTAGACAATTCATTTGACCATTAGGTTGCCAAGAATTACATGTGTACATGTACTTATTAATTAACAATATATATATATATACATTTGTAATTAAAACTTTCCAAGTATATGAGTCAAAAAAGATACAGGGATTCATTATATATAATATAGTATAGCCTTAAAAACCAAGTAATAGTAAGCTCAAAAGGACCAAGAAAAGGGGTTTACGGAAAAGAATGTCCTGTCAGTCTTACATCTAGCTGCTGGTGTAGAGTCTTTGTTGCCTCCCCCCTCAGTATAGGAATGTTGATGTTGACAGTTACAGCAGTGTGCAGTAGAGGCCACTGGCTAACAAAGGACTGGAACTTCCACTCTGCAACTGTACCACTGTCCTGGAGGCCACAAGGAAACAAGAAATCAAGGATGTAGACCTCTGTCATTGAAGTATGTACATGTACTCAGAATTGTTTGCTACGAAATAGCTACGATACCGGCCTAGTATTAATAAGACACTGGTCAAAAAGGTGTCAATCAGTAAGAAGTTTCTCAAGAAATGGAATAAGCTTTTTTTTTTAAGTGATGAAAACTTACCCTAGGATCTACAACATTGAATGTCTTTGTGGTAAATCTGGGAATAAAGGTCAAGGATAACAAACTTCTTCTTTTTTATAACTTATAACACTTTATGCAACAAACTGTGAAGCTGGTATGCCAGAAGTAAACAATGAAGGCCCCTAACTTGTCTAGGCATTCAACTTTGATGTACATGTATTACCCACAGTGCATGACACTTTGCATGCATAGGTCAAATCGTCAACCAGCTTATTATGCATTGTGTCAAAGCAGGCATTATGCCAGAGTTTGAGACCAGTTTTTAAATAAAACAGGACTTGATGAGGAAGGATACTTCTTGGTGACACTACAGATCTGCAGAACTATTCTGTGCTGCTCCTCCTCTTCACCCTCTGTCTTCACAGCCTTCTGCCAGGGGGTCTTCAGCAGTGTCTTGTGAACCGAGTACAGGACCTGGATCAGCTGGGACTGGATGGTCCTGCTCTCTTCTGAGGGCAACACGACAAAGATGCCCAGGATGTTCAACCCCCCAGGAAGCATTCTCTCCACCTGTGCAACACACAAACATGATAATTACATGTACAATGTATGTATGTCTGTGAATTGTTTCATCAGGTTAGCAAGACACTGAGTAAAGAGACTTTTTACACAACCAAGTCTTTTATTCAGCCGACATTTCGGTGACCTCAGGGCAATTCTGACTGGTTCACATTGCGCTACAGCACAGGTGATAATTATGGTATATCAGGTGATGTCATTGGCGTGTCTGCTGCCATGCTGGTGTCCCTACATTCACTGTTCAAAATGCGGATACCGGTAGAGACACCAGCATGGCACCTCAAGTATTTTGACATCTTCTTTATCATGTGTGGCGAATGTCAACAATCTGTCAATGAGAACATTCAAGGGAAGACTTATTACTAGTAAATACCTACCTGTTTTGCATGTTCTGCGATCCACTGTGAGTCAAGACTCTCTGATTTTGTTGCTGACCCCTTCTTCTTTTTCTTGCCAGTCTGTTGGGTGTCGTCCTCAATCTTAGGTGTCCTGATGAGATGCACCACATAGTCCTCTCGCTTGTGTCCATGGGCCTGGAAAGGAAAAGAGATAACTGTACGTCCTAGCCAAGTTCACAGAGACCTACTGTAATTTGTTAAGAGGGGAAAGGAGGCATTTGTAACTTGTATTTAGCTGATGATGATAAGAAATCTTCCTGTCACCACCCCCTGCCCCAAGTCTGTAACCACCCCAAGCCCTTAAATCCTCCCCCTGGGTTTCTATCGAAAGGTGCACACGTGTACTACTCATGCCATATGTCTGCAGCACTAGGCACCAAAATTTCATCTTACCTGTCCCACAAGAAGCCCGGTTGTTATTCCTTTGCCAGCAGAAGTCTTCAGAATTTCCTGAATTCTATCCTGTAACAGATCCTCGGCTATCACCGTCCGACCCATCTTCAAAACGCGTCAAGATGTATTCTTGCTATCACGACACTTCTTCCGTTCTCAGTGCTGTAACCCATGCAATAGGTCGAAGGTCATTGGGCGGCTTCATTCAGCGAAAGCAAACAGAAAGAAGAGTCCTCGATTCAACCATTTTGCCTACGTAACTTGGATTTATCCGACCTTGTTTCTTTATATAAATACCAAAACTAAATTTTGTACTTAATTTTGTCTGAAAATGTTGAGAGTATCTTATAATTTTTCGTTTGTACATAGATGAGAACCCGCCCTCCCCTATTTGCAGAAGTCGTTCAGCCCAAACATAGTTTTAGAACACGTCATTTCCAAGATGGTTGTGGTCCAATTTCTGTGTCTACAAATTCTTCCTGATTTCTGCAAGTTTTATTCTTCATTCTCAGTCACTACACCGCTCCACGTATCCAGACGTATTTCTGGCGCGGTTTTATAGTTGGAAAGGCGAGAGAAGTGTGATTCCAAGACGTCGAAGTGGCGAGTTCTGTGGGCTATTTTTGGTTGTTTTGGAGTTGTTGGCTGGCAGCCCAGTATGGCGGGTGTGTGGCAGAGGCCGTGTTGGCGGATGTTGTTCAGTACTGCCGTCCTAGTCAGGTCCTTCCACGTCTGTATAACGACTGGGGTGGTGTCATTATTGTTCTTTAAGGACACGGGTAAGTGCTTAGATACTCTGTCTCTAATTACTGTATAAGCAAGGGCATATACAATGCAATAATTTGTTTACAAGGGTAAGTTTCTTATCTATGGTTGCTCTTTTTTGCAAAGAAAGTTGTGTTCATTTCCAATATAGCAGCTAGCAAGGACAAAGTCGTATCTATAACGGTAGGCTAATTGAATTACACATTCCTTTATCACATTAGTTACATGTGATACTGTTACATGTTTTAATCTGTAGTAAGTTGTGTGAGGTATACGTACAAGTAGACTATGATACTATTAAGTTAACATTCCTGTATTTCCTTCCACAGCTCTAAGACAACAGTTGATATCAGGTGACTACCTGGTACCATGTATATACATGGCCCTGGTGTTCCTGAGTTTAGTGCTGTATGCAGTGGTGTGCTCCATGGACCCTGGATTTGTCAGTCTCACAAACAACAAGAATGCCATCAGGAAAGGAGTAAGTTGTCTTGTTGAAAGTGTGAAATCATGACTGGTATAGTTCTGAAGTTTTCAAAAGAAGAGAGTGAATAAACTCATGGTTTGAATGGGACAATGGTGTAGTATGATACACTGTGGCTAACACCAGTATGTAATAACAGTGAGGGGGGAATGCCATAACCACAGACTTACAGGAATGTTGAAGTGTTCTCCTGGCAGGCTGGGAAGAAGTGGGATCAAATTCTTGAAATAAGCAGGCAATATGGTCCTCCCACAGTCTTAGAAGAAGTGGCAGTGGACCATGCCCAAAATCAGTGAGAAATTTACAATATTAAAGGAATAAAAGAAGAAATTTACTGCAACAGTAAATACCTTCCCTGAGGTTTGAAATTTCTTGTTTTTCTTCTGCCTCCAGCAACAGTGTGTGGAGTCCAACAGTGAGGAAGATGACAGTGTCTCTGCTACAGAAACAAGTGTAATGATTGAACCAGACATTGGTCTGAAACCCAGAGTCAAGCTCAGGAACTGTGGGTTTTGTGGCATACAGGTACGTGCACACAAAATTCTTGTTTTAATTCTAAGTTATCTTTTTGTTAGATGTTTGTTCACAGATACATGTATGTATAGTTATCCAGTGCCTGTTTTTTCCTTTATATAACACAATTTTATTTCTGTTAGATACGGATGCACTGTGAGTCTGTGTAGGCTTGTATTTGCTTCATTATTTTTGTAGTACTCACAAAAGTCTGTTTACTTGTGTATAATATCAGACAATTTGTATTCCTTTCAGCAACCCATCCGAGCCAAGCACTGTGAGCTGTGTGGGTTCTGTATCCACCGGTTTGACCACCACTGTCCGTGGTTCGAGACGTGTATCGGGGAGAGGAACCACAGGTTCTTCTGGATCTTCTTATTGGTGGAAACCTCGCTGGTGGGATGGACTGTCCACCTGGTCTGGTAAGTACATTGTGGCTAATCTTCCTGGAACATTTAGTTTAGTTACGTAACAGATCCATAACAACTATAAGAAGGCTTAAATATATACAAGGAGAAATTTGTTTTTAAATGCAGTGAGAAGAAGACTAATGGTTTGTAGAGTGGATGCCATTGTGTTATCTTCCTTTCAGGACTGCATTTGTGTATGAAGAGAGCTGGACCAGCTGGTTTGTGTCGAACGGGCTGTACCTGGTGGCCATGTTTGTGCTGGTGCTGGGAGGTACAGCCACCTTCCTCCTGGTGGCCTCACACACCTACCTGATCGGCATCAACCTCACCACATGGGAGTTCATGTCAAGGTGGGGAGGATTCCCTTTAGAAGTTGATATTTTGATATTGGATGTATTGTGACAGGAAAAGATATGGGGGTCAGAGTTCTAATCCCACTTCTGACACCATCTTTCAGGAAGTGTAAGATTTACAATATGGTAGAATGCAAAATAACAGAAAAACTGTTTTAAGGATAGATTTTTCATGACACATTCTACTGGAGAGAGGCAATTCCTTTTGCGAAACTCAGGCAGCATCTATATTATAATGGCAATCTTTTTCATGTTCCTCTAATGCTATGTTTTTATTGGACTTGCATTTTCCCCCCACAGACATAGGATCACGTACCTGAAAGACTATCACGGAGATGAGAACCCATTTGACGAGGGCTTGCTGAAGAACCTGTGGAAGTTCTTTCTGCACCTGCGACTGAAGGACTGGGAGTTGTACCTGATGAACAGGCCAGCTAAAACACTGGGCAGGGCATAGGCACGTGGGCAGGGTACCACTAGGTGCTGTACCATGTGTTCTAAGTAGGGTGTGAAAACCCCAGTACACTTTGTACTGCAGGGAGTTTAACACCCCTTCAGAACTAACCTGGATGAACTTTAACTTGACCTTAAATGTATTTTAGGTCAGACAAAATCAGGACATAAACCAGACCATACAAAAAGGCGATTAGAGCGTTGGACTTGGAACCAATAGGTCCCAGGTTCACCATGCCCTGACGTTGTGCCCTTTGGAAAGGCACTTTACACGACTTCCCTCCCTGTACAGTGGAGTAATGCCAACTGAGCCTCTTACTAGGCTAATCTGTCAAAATGTGTGCCAAATACACACTATGGATATGGTGCGCCAATGTGCCAACATCTGCACATTTGCCACCAAGAGCCGTAAAAAAACCCCAAAAGGTCTACCCCCAGGCCATGATCACTTGATCATCATGAGGTTGACTGGGGGGAATGTCCAGAAAAGTTGGCAAAATCCCTTGAGACCTACCAACACTACAGCTGTCAGGGATTTTTAAAAAAGTGCCATTTGTTTTCAAATTGAAAACAAAAGGGGGCTGGGCCCTGAACAGGAGGCAGTCTTTCATGGTGATCACATTTTGCCCTTGGCATACATACAATATGTGATTTAGATCTTAATCCATGATCTAGGCATGTGGTCTTCCTACAAAATGTAGGCTGAATCTCTCTGTCATTGAGAGATTTTAGGCCCCTTTGATCAGAGAGATACAATGTACTTTGTATTTGTATCATCTTGTTCTGCCAACTTCCAACTGGCTTTCTCTGTATCTGAATGGTCCTCAGTGCCATAACCAGTATATTGTGATACAGTAATGAGTACTGTAAAATCACAAAAACCTGGAGCAGTGCAGTTTGTTGTGAATGCCATGGGGCTGACAATTTTTCCCCTTGCAGAATGACAATACTGCCTGCACCCCTGACTTAAAAAGTCGTTAACAGTCACGGTGAAGTGATTGTAATTACTCAGGAACTGTCCTTCCTTTGACAACTTTTGTCCTGTAGTAAAAGGAAGGAGCCAGACCCTTGGCCATAGATAATTCTGTATGTGCCAAAGGCAAAGAATGTCATGGTTTCAACTATTTTGGGCAAAAAGGCTGTACGTCTAACATCTTTGCTAGAAGAAAATGTTAGATTTGCAGTTGTACCAACTTACTGTTGAAGGTCTGCTCTGCTAGAGGCAGTGTCGCACATTGGAAAAATAAGTCACTGAAGGATTTTTAGGAATTGGATACTGAGCCCTGTCCAGTGTAATAAGTACAAATGTAGATCTTCAGATGAGGAATACGCTGAACCCGAGCTGGTGATTTTTAAATTCTATGACTTTCTGGTGACTGACAGCCAAATGTCTTAGACTTGTGTGACACCAGATTCAAGACAATTTTACTACTCACCAAGCAGAGGTTGGTGGGAAACATTATGATCTTAATATCATATGCCCCATTTTCTGTCACTACTGGAGTAGTGACAGCAGCTAGTGGGGCATATGAGTTTTACCCAAGTGGACAGAAACATAGACATAATTCTATTAGACTTGAGCCTTACATCAGTGCAGATGTTTTTATGTAGAAGCAAGGGACCAAGTTTATGTACTGGAACTTTATTTTGCAATAAAATCAGTTGAAATCACATGTTTGGATGTGCATGGTGCATGTTTGAGGTCTGTACTGAAGTTGGATCATGACACATGCTTGTGGTTGATGGGTGTTTGGTGTGGTTTGTCACTGTAATGTGCTAACATGCAATGTGAATGAGTGACACAAAGTTGACTAGTAACAGGCAAAATCTTTTTGAAGGTTGCATGGTTGTGAGGTCGCACAGAGTGTTGAGTATCTGCACTTCTGAGTGATGAAGATGGCAAGAGGGTTTGTTAGCTGGTGAAGAGATAGAAGTGCTCCCTCTGTAGACACAGAGTGGCATTGCAAGTGGAATGGTGGACACATTTTTTTGATGTGAAGAAAAAGCATGTGACGTGATCTTAATTCCACAAGTCAGCTTTAAGATTCTCACCATGAATATACCAGCTGAGGCCAAACTAAACAAGTAACTGCAGGCGTGAAAACCAGGGACATATCTGGCTCAAGTATGAATATTCTACATCTACCTCATGTTTTATTTCTTCATTTATTTTGTAACTAAAACTGTTTGATACATTGAAATATGGACGAGAAAGTTCAAGATCAATCATTGGGAATTTACCCAATAGATATTGAGGTTGTGGGTTTGAGTCCCAGTACAACCATCCAATCAATGCAATGAGGGTGACATGGTGACCTTGTGGTTAGGGTTGTGTTAAGGCTCTTAAGGTTCTGGGTTTAAATCCCTAGCAGGTCCCAATGTTGTGCCCATGGGAAAGGCACTTTACACCAATTTCCTCACTTGACTCAGGTAAATTGGAGTACCCTGCTTTGGTAACAATGTCTTCTCAGATGGGACAAAGCCCAGGTCCCATGTTTGAACTTTGAGGAGATTGCCGAGGTAATTGGTATCCTGCAAACTTTACATACCCTCAGATTTCGACACACCAATGCAATTACATGTTTCTTGAATTTTGGGAAACTTTGGAATCTGCAGTGAGAAGAATGTGGTCCAAACATGACTTTGCTTTTATAGCCTCTACCAGGCTTTAGGAGTGGCCAGAGTAGACAGTGACGCTCACTTGGGGGTGGAAAACTACTCCTTAAGTGGGCGAAGTCCTCTGGTATGTCTAGTTGGCCAGTTTAAAGCTGTTACTCTTTAAAGCTGTTTCTGAAGCCTGGTAGATGCTGGACTGGAGGAGATGAAGATTAGTTATGTCTTAAACTGCGATGATAATGACAGCCAGGAAGAAGGTGGTCTCCTCAGCAGGCTCTACAACTTTAATTATATTTTTGGCTTTTATTATGTGCTTTGTTTCTTAAGGCATGTCACTTCTCTTTGTACCTGCCTCCTTGTGTCAATCCAGCTGGTGTGTCCAAACAGGATTGATATGCCGTAAGGAAAATAGTGCATTGTAAAAGCCCCCCTCCCTAATAAAGCCCCAGTCATACAGCCTGCTAAGGTGACTAGGAAGATGGCACTGGAACCACACAAGCCATCTAAATTTAGGATAGGACTGTCAGGAAGGAACAATCCAAGGTGATGTCTAATCAACAAACTGAAATATGACATCACAGTATGGAAAAGACTGATGAAAAGCCTTTAACCATATGTTTCCTAGACATAGAGTATCAAAAATGAGTGAAGAAAGATAGTATATGTATGTTCATGGAACACAAGTTTATTAAGCAGAGAATTCCATCATAGAAATGAACAGTGCAAGTTAGAGAAGCAGAATAAGGTATTAGTACGTTTCTACAAGTGAGCTAAAATTTACTTTCTATTGTAACAATACTATTGCTTACATAATTATCAATAATATGTATCAAACTAGAAAGGCCGACATTTGCTTGAGAGCAAATGCAGCAGATGGCTTCACCCTATCCCCCATACCGAAAATGGATCCATCCTACGATGGCTGCCAATAGTCTACACCCCCATGCAGAAATGGAACCTTCCAATGCCGGAAATAGCCAAAAAGCCCTATTTTACATAACTTTAAAGTGGTGTATGTCAAAATCGTGAATGACATTCTTTGGACATGTGTCCAAGGTATCCCCATACTGAATTTCAGGTCATTCAGATTTAATATTAGGGCACAGGAGCCAAAAATGTACATTTTGGGTCCGAAAATAGCCAAAAAGCCTTATTTTTCCCAATTTTAAAGTGGTGTATGTCAATAGCTTGAATGATTTTTTGTAGACATATGTCCAAGGTATCCCCATACCAAATTTCAGGTCATTTGGTTTTAGTACCTGGGAACCAGATCTCAAAATGTATATTTTTTGCCTGAAAATGGCCAAAAAACCCAAATAAAACAATTTTTCAAAAAAATGAAAAAAAAAAAGCGTCGGGGTATTTGCCCACTCTACCTTCATGCCAAATTTCGTGTTATTTGGCCGGAAAATGGCAGAGATGAATCCATTTAAAGAAATGGCAGGAGAAGAAGAAGAAACATGAGGGAACACAATATGTCTTCACCACTTTGTGGTGAAGCCATAAATATCAAAATACCTACTAGATGTTCTCACTTGTGCAAGTTAACTTTAAGTTAGCTACATGCTCTTTTCCACTCTCTTCGCCTGCTTGCATACTCTCCCTACTAAATAAATGTTGCTACTAGGCTTGTTACAACACAAGCAATGTGTAAATATGTCAGGTCTTAAAGTCAGAACATAATGTAATTGCTAATGCTCATTTTTTTTATTTCTTACTGTTTAGAATTACCCAACAACCTGGCATAACTACATCTAATAGCAACTGGACGTAAAAGTTGGGCGACCAAAGTTTTAGAACACAAAATGGAAAAAAGTTACAGAAAATAAATTTGGAACAGCCAATGGAAGTTGACAAACACGCAGCATCGCTATTATCAAAGACATTTATTTCTGACAGTTAACTGACTGCATGACATAATGTTTAACCACATGACATTGGAACATTTGTAGAGAAGAAGAAGCATACAATTTTCTATACATGATGTGGCAATCAGCTTGTATTAATATGGTATCCATTTTTTTGACATGTCCGATTAAATTTGTTATATCACTAACAGTTATCTGACGCATACATACAATGTAGATGTAAATCAGAAATGGATAAATATATGAAATGTACAGATATTAGTTGTTGATGTTTAAGTTAAACATTCTGAAGCTACTTTGATAAAAGATACATGTATAAGTTCCACTCTTGTGCATTTGCGGTGTCAACAGTGAAGGCTCTTGACTTGTAAACAGTTGTTGTCTAGAGTCTAGACCATGCTGTGTTTTGTTTGTGTGTCGGGGGCCTTCAATTTTGACATGTTACTCACAATGTATTGTATTGTGCATATGCAGTTGGAACCCTGAATCAACTTATAGATTCAGTTTAGCACCAATGGTTTGTATAATGTTAGTACATGCCCGTATAATACAATTCCCTGCAACAGCATTATTTGATAATTTAAGTTGTTACATGTTGCAAAAATGAAATAGAATCTGTGTAACAATTTGTCCAGCACCAGATACAAAAATATAATCCTTACCCATAAAGCAGGTTTCTATATCATACTTGTTACTACAATATCCTTTAAAAACTGTCTAAAGCTAGGATGTAATTACAGGCGTTATCTTGCATAATCATTCAAGCAGATATGCCTGCCTTAAAATACTTGTTACAGAATGAATATGATTGTCATACATTAAACATAGTAAACACTTTTAACATGACACTGGCTCTACATCTGACTACAGTTTGTAAGAAAACATGGCATTCATCCTACATTTAAAATGTTACGGGAGGCATACAAATTATCAAATTAATATTGTAAGTACACATTTTACTCTTTTGTATTGTAAATAAGTTGGCGTCTAAACTCCAGTCTGACTTGTTGATGATAATGATACTCCAAAGGTTGGCTTTTTTGTTAACTCTGCACGTTTTTAAAAACTGCTGGAAGATTTGAAGCACAAGTGATGTCATAGGGTAAACAGCACAGCAAGGCTATGAAGTATTGACACACAATTGTAATTGATACATGTACAATGTACCATTGTTACTGGAAAGACTTGATTTTTAGGCACAACCTTGGTTACTGCTGATTCTATAATTGAATATCAAAAATATATTTGGCTACTGAATATCACTAAGTCTTGCTCATGTTTGTGCTTGGAATACATTGTTCCTCAGCTTGTTTCAGACTGCCTAAATGTGATGTAAAACGTTGTACAAGGAACATAACAAACCGCATGATTTCAGACCATTTCTACAAAGTACAAAATGATAAAACTAAAGTTCCCTTGGCAAGGTTTTTTCTACTAGGTAAATGCAATACTTAATTTGTGCTTCATCATTTACCAAATATGTTTAATTAATGTCCTATACAACTCTTGAATATCAAACCAATTATTCCTACCCAGCTCCAACTCTTCAGCTCCACGTTAAAATTTTGCAAAGCAACAAAAGACCTAAATCAATCTCATAATTATACATGTAGCTTATCATGGCACCAATCATGGCACCAAACCCACCTCCCCTCCCCCCAAAAAATGCTGTTCTCTTGTATAAAGTAGTGCCTATGGTAACACATTGGCAGAACGTACTGCACCTGCACAAAACCCGTAATGTATTGTGCATAGCACTTTGGCAGAATGCCTCATATAAGGTTGTATTTGTGTATATAAGGTTTACATCCCGTCTGTAGTTTCCAAATGTTATGTCCGAAATTCTGATGCAACGTTGACCAAACACTCAACGAAAACCGTGAAAAGTCAGGGTATCGTGCAGGCACAGTATGTTCTGCCGACGTGCTGGTGTGACTATGGTTCTGCACTGCTCCTGCGTTCATCAGAGCTCCCCACCGTGCGATGACGGCTCCCCGTCTGGTGTGGGCAGACCTTCGCTGGGCCCCATGGCAGGGACGGTCGGCTTGTCTCCGCTGTCAGCCTTGTCAAGGTCAGGCACGATGGGAGAGGAGCCCGTGTCTGTTGGGAGAGAACAAAACTCGTTCTGAATAAAATGGTCAAGAAGTCTTCACTTAGGTTGGTGAGGGTTAGACATCCAGGTAATAAGATATGCCAAAAAACAGTTACTCAAACAACTCAACTCAAGAACAAGTTCTCTAGTGTCACTGACGAAAGGTGGTGGATGCTACCATTTGCTGAATCACATCCAGTTGCTTGAGTAACTGTTTATTGGCAAGTCTTCACTTATCTCTTGTCTAACAGGTCCGAGACATCCAGATTTTTAGCAACCAGAGAGGACTAAAGGCAAATGGAGATTTGTATACATGTATGGTAAATATGGCAAAAAGCTCTTTTTGTTTTTGTCAAAATAATATAGACAATCATTCTCAATGGCTAAGTTTTGGAGGGCTCAATGTTTTACGATGGAACATAACTCATAACGTTCCTCATGAAGTGGTCAAATTAGGCGTGTCACATTAATGTCATGTACATGTATATTAGACTGTTATAATAGCCTGGTATCTACCCATATTTATTTACCTGGTCCCTATCCAGAACCTGTTGCAAATATGATAACAGGTTTTGGTTACATAGGAAGAGGGTATCTAAATACAGATGGATACCAGGCTATATGAATATCAGATATTAATATTGTGAAACAATGGAGCATGGTCTGAAATAGCCTGGGTACCATCCAATTTTGCTCCACTATGCAAGAAAAAAATCCATTTTTTCTAGTGTAGCAGAGCAAAATACAGATGGTACCCAGCCTAGGTCTGATATAGAGGTAAGCCAAAAACGTGCTTTAAGTGGCTTGGCATTCATGATGCAAGTGTTGCAGGCTGAGTGATAACAGCAGCAACATTGTCAATCCACCCAACATCCACAAACTCATGTCCACAAACTCAAGTCCATGGCAGGAGAGTACAGTATATATAACTGTTCCCCTTAGTCTCTTAGTGTGACCTGTCAGTGGTTAGTTTTGTAGATCCAGTCAATAAGGCAGTTCACAATTTGAACTGTGCATGCATGAAGTCAGGACATGTTTACTTCTTTTGGGGCTTCAACTTTCCCATAATGCATCACACTGCTTACGTGCAATTCAAACTGTGAACCAGCTTATTATTGTGTCTTTTTTTTATTAATAATCTGCCATTGAAACCTTTGAAGGGCTTCTCAAATCAAGTTCTGACTTTTACTTGGATTTCAAAAAGTCAAAAAGGTGGGGCCTTTAGTCAAGAAATATAGTACAAATTTATGGCTGGAAACTGGACTGTAGGACAGCACTTGACAGCAACATGACAGTTTATATGGCAACAGGCACTTTTATACTGTCTTTACAATGTTTGTATGTCCTGCTGTGGTTGTGTTAAGCTGTCAAAGCTTGGAACTGAAGGTGACATGAAGCCATGACCAAGGTGTTGAGGACCAAGCTGGTGATGGGAAACATCTGTGCATGGATCGTGGAACATAAAATATGGTTTCAAAGAAAAAAATAAAAGGATTATAAGCCTGATGAGTACTGGTATTAGTGGCGGTAGGACCAAACCTTGCAATCTTGTTACTCACCCTCTTCTATGACCAGCCTTGAATCAGGAGCAGCTTCTGTATTTTGTACAACAAGTTCTGATTTCGTGATTTGGCAAATGTTTCTATGTAATACTATGTCCATGTCAATGTCAACGTAATGCACCTTTTACCTTTGTGTCATGCCATAAGTATAGGGTGTCTGCACATAGAATTTTTGTAAAGTAAAAAATTTCAACACATAGAACAATGATTTAAGATAGAGAAGAGAAAAAACTAAGCATGTTAGTTAATGGGAGAATTATAATATACTACTCATAACATTCCTCACAATGTAATTAAGTCTTTGAACTGCCAAGTTGTACATCATCATGGTTTAGCAAGTGCAAACACCCTATAGACTGTCCATTACAAGTACATGTACTCTAACCTCTTTTAACAGTAGACTGACTGCCCTCATGACTTCACAAATCTTACTTCAAGTCTAAGGGAGCTCAGTTTAGACATATATAAAGCCCCTGTCACACACAACTGACTGTGACCTCCTGACCATCTCAAGACCATGGTCGGGACTTAGTCGTGAGCAAAGTGGCAAGGTTGCCTACTGAATTTTGAAAAATCATAGTCAGGAAAGTCATATTCGGCTTAGATGAAATCAGAGGAGACAACTTTCTGCCCTTTGGTGTAACACACCAGATTAGCAGGTATGCGGCGTGGTGTAACTTTGACTTAAGAACTGAAAGTATACTGGGATTGATTTTTAGCTACTGCCAACTCAGTGCTAACCATGGTTGGGGAGTGGTCGGGAGAAAAGTCATGGGATCCCGAAAGTGTGACAGGAGCTCAAGATGACAGAGCAGAAAGCCTAACTCACCTGTGTCAGTGATGTAGTTAGCCTCCCCAGTGTAATGGGTTGGGTAGATCATCAGGGGTTCTGCTGAGAAAGCCTTCAGGTCTCTTGGCTCAAAGGCATACATGTACTTTGTACTGTAGGACAAAGTTAATGAGCATAGAAAGGCACAGATCCGTTAAACTTCGAACTAGCATGACATGGCTTTAGCAAAGCAAACAATGTTGACACAAAGTACCTATTTCAGCATTAACTTTACTTCTATTAGTCTACAATCAATATAATTATATATACAGTATACTGTAAAATAGTTTTAGTCTTTCCTCCAAATTAAACTGAAATGGACTGATAAGAACATCATGCAATTAAGAACTGTTTCTACCCCCCCATCTCCTGTCAGTCTCCAAATGTCTGTCTGCATATTAGGATCACATGTTCAGATTCCACATCATTTGTCATTAGGAGTGGCAGAAGTGGCTGAAAAGCGTAGTAATAGGTCAAATAGACAGATATCATGCTAGGGGAGTAGTTGGTCCAGACCTTCTAGACAGATAACATGTCAGGGGAGTTGGTCAAGATCCTTTAAAAAGAAAGGACCAGCTCTCCTGGCATGTCCAGCCAATTTCTAATATTTCAGCCACTTCTGAAGCCTCAGGTAGAGGCTAGCAGAGGTCCTCTCCCCTCCTACTGAAAATAAAACCACTCAATGGAAGTTCCAGTATCCTGGAGGTGTCCCACTTACTCTGGATGGTCATCAAACATCATGGGTAAGAACTCGTCCACCGGGATCATTTTGGTGAGGGGTTTGACATCCAGCAGTTTCTTGGCCCCCCTCCAGGTGATCATGTATCCCAGCGTCCAGTAGGAGTAGGTGACGTGGATCATGGTGGTGGTGCCGAGCACCCAGTGTTCTCCCTCCAGCTGCATCCGCTTACGACCTACGTAACTGTCGCCAACGGAAACGCAATGAAACGCATCTAAATACAATGCTGAGAATGGCGAGGGGATTCAAAGTGACAGTTAAGTGTTGTATAAGTGTTGGGATTGATAGACCTAAAGTCCACCGTACACTCTGACACAATTCCCTCAGCTGTATCTGTATCTTCCAGTAAGGAAACCTTATTCAAGTCCACCTCAGTGTCACTGCATACACTATGATACAGTTGATTTGAGGTCTGTCAATCCCAATACCTGACAGTACGTTTTGTATTCGTAGTTAAGGCTTGAAAGCAATTTGTGTAGTATCACTTGATAGTGTCTTCACTTGATAGTGTCTTTTTAGACTAGAGAAAGTGGCCAAGAGAAAGAAAGCTACTGATTTAAGGTCATTTCTATTAGTCATTACAACTAAATGGTTAATCTATATTTGGAGTCAGTGTTAAAGAGAAGGTCACTGCTGACACAGAAAGTATGGTGCTTTCTGATCCACATTACTGCCTTTGTTTGTCTGATAGGCCCTTTTTGTAAGATCTGAGCATTACAGGTTTTTTCCACTAAAAATCTTGCAAAGAGGGCCTGAAGTGAAATCGAACCCATTTCTTTTTCAACATGTATTGTTTAGGTGAGATGGAGTAAAAAATACTGGTACCACATCTGTGTGTGTGAGTGCAATCCATTCCACACATTCAACTTTTTCAAGTTTGTCTGAAAAAAAAACTGAGAGAAATGTATTTCTGAGGATGGAATGATGAAGCCATGATCATGAAATGTTATTAGTCTTGGTCTGCTACCTCCTTGTCCACCAATGATAAAACATGCCTCTGGCAGTTTTCATTTTTGTTTGTCAGCCCTATAGTATTCGTCAGGGTCAAAAGCACACATTGGTAAACCCACCCCAGGCCTGGCCTCTGTTCAGGAACAACTTTCTTCCTCCCGATGTATCTAGACAGGAACAGAGAAGAACACAGAGTACTTCCCTATTAGTCAAGATGATGGTCCTCCAGAAAGGAGGAAAATTCTCATGAAACCTCTAGAAAATGTCTTAAATTTTACTGTATAATAGAATCCAGTTACCAGTACTCAAACTTTACTCAAAAGGCCCTATCTATGAAGAAACCATATTTTACTGATGGCTGCGAAGAACAGTCAAAAGACTCAAAAGATAAAGATTTTGGTGTACAAGATATTCCAAAACTACATTATTCTTGTTGATGTTTTGTTTTAGCAAAACTGGTCATGATAAATCAACTTATATATTTATCATTCGGTATGAACCTATGTATTTATTTTCTAATAACTATACAGAGAAAACAAATATCATTGATGTTGGTATTTTTCTATGCTTTTCACAATGGTTTCTATATTCAGGTCAGTTGTCCTTCGTAAACAAGTTATCTTCTATGTTAAAGCATAAAGAACAGCACATTAAGCAGTTAAGTCCACATCTAAAAAGTGCCTGGGGTCTGAGGATAGTTTCATTGTCATATTATTTAAGGGTACAGAAAAAGGATTGAAAGAAACCGGGGTATTTAATAGCAGCAGCTCAACTTGGTTAGCATAAGGACCTAATGTCAGTCAACTGTCTTTTATTGGGGTAAATAACGTCTGGTCACCAGGGCTTGAAATATTTTTGGGGATAAAAACTGGTGCAGGTAATATGGAAAATTACCAGCATTTGACAACTTTACCTGTGCTACAGACATGACCATTTTCCTTACTTTTCAGTACATTGTACATTACAAAGAATGTTTTGAAATTGGTCCATTTGGAATCTTATTATCTGTTACATATAAATTCAAGAATGCTGCTATGAAAATTTCAATTTGAAAGTAAATTTGGCCCACTACTTGCCATATGTCACCATAATGTTGTGGACTGTTTTTACGATGGACCAGTACAGGTAGACATCAGAAGTGCCTGCAGTAAGCTGCATGTACAGGTGGTATTTCGAGCCCTGTAATTCTACTATCAGCGGGAGAGTGAGATGAAAGCTGTGATGAAAAGCCCAGTCAGGTTGTGAAATGTTTTGAAAGAAAAAGGATAGCAAAAATATGGGAGAAGTAAAAATAATAAAAGAATGGAGATGGGGGTGGGTGGGTGCAATGTCAATTACCTCGAATTCTGTCAAAAATAACAGCCTCTTACATAAAAGGTACATGTATGCACATCTTTTCACGGTTCTCATTGCATGATGGAAGATGAAGAGCACTATGGGTAGTGCAGGGGGCACAACACCATAGACTAGACACAAACTTACACATGCACTGCATGAGGGTTGTCATGGTAATGATGTTTTTACCCATAGTGCCCTGCATCTCCCAGCATGCAATGAGATCCGTGAAAACTCTATGAAAAGAGGAATAAATCCTCTTATATCAGTCAATCTGTTTTACCAACTTCACAGTCAGACAAAAATGCCTTCAATTGGCCAGAAAACATGTTTGACACCATCTGTAAGTTGGTTTAACTGTGTTTGAATTTTTGAATTTTGAATGGAAGATTTCCCATGAGTCCTTACATGAGGTCCCAGTCCAGCCGGATCTCCTCAATCTCATTCAGCATCTTGTACATCCTCCGCTTGAAGAAAGGCTCAAATCTGATGTCATCCTCAAACACAAGAACCCAGTCCAGGTTCTTCTCTACCATCTGTGGGACAAGTTAGAGGAATTTCATACTGGTCACTGAGTACTGAGGAGAGATTTGTCATGAGAATTGATTATAGTGTAGTACACGTATCACAACATGTGATACTATTTACAGTAATACTGTAAGAATCAATAAAAATCATAGGTCTTATCAAGAGAAATGGACAAATGAGAGCTTAGTACATCTACATGTATGAGTAATGTAACTACATTGCCACCATATTTGACCTTCTGATCTGTCACTTTACAAAAGTTGTATTGACGTCTTCTTAGCGGATATGCAAGTACATGTACTGTACTATTATCCAAGCTTTCGGCAAATGTATCAATCAGCTACAGTATACAAGAAACCTTCACTGTCATCTACCAACAGAACTTAAGGTGTACTACATATTCTGTCTAACAGTTCTAATGTACTTTGGGTACAATGGGTCAAGACTGTAGTTCACTCAGAACCCTTACCTCTTCCCAGATTTTGTAGTGACTGAGAAAACAACCAATCTCTCCCATGGTCATACTTCTGTCAGCCCAAGGGTCCTTATACTCTGGTAGGACTGTCACTCCCATTTTTTTCAACACAGAGGCATTCAGAGTCCTGAAAAGCATTCAGAGTCCTGTTTTTTTTGCTTCTAGACATCTTGTCAACAATAGGTCACAAAAATCAATGATTTTATTCTATCAAATTTACAGTACTAGATACAACTGTCTACAGACTGAACACAAGTTGAACCCAATGTACCATGATTAGATATGGACAAAAACAGGCATAAGAAGTACATGTACATCTACTTACAGTCCATCCACTGCCTCCATGAGTTTGAAGTCCAGCCCTATCTCCTTCAGGGTGTGCACCATTCTTTTCCTCCGCTCTGGACGACGCTTCAGGTTGATCACATAGATCTACAGGGAGGACAAAAAAACACAGCAACAGGAGTTTTAGATCCAAAATGACATAACGCTGTCTTAGCCTTTTTATACATACTTAATACATTCAATACATGGCTTTTTTTACCCTATACAGGACTCGAAATTCATTTTTGGGAATAGGAGCTCTGGGTGCATAAAAACTTTTTTTGGGTGTATCCTATATAGCTATAAAGTAATCTTAACAAAAATTTTATTACTTTTCTGACACTTGATGTATACTAGTATCAATTTAATATCTTTTACATACGTTAATGAAAATATTTGGGTACACCCACAGAAAAAAATTGGTGCACAAAGGTGCACCCAGTATTTCAAGCCCTACTATTGATCCTTATCATATTGAGAAACCGGTTGTGCATGTATGTACCTCATCGAAGCCCATCTTGGTGACAGTTTTGTTGGGAGGTGAGATGTGAGCAGATGGCACCAGGGGGTCAAACACGTAGCCTTCTGGTGTGTCATGTGCTGTGGGCAAGAAAGACATGTTCTGACAAAACATTATAAAAATCACCCTCCCACAAGACTTTTTTCACCCCTGGTCATGCACAGGGTAATATACGTCAACGAGCATGATCAGTTTTGGCAGTGACCAGTTTTCTCTTGAATACTAAATCCTGTATGAATTGTGAATTCTGAATCTATGCATATTTCTTTCTAACTTAGTTCCTAATTCCTACAGTACCAATCATCTCTCGAGATGGAAGTATGCCTACCTACAATGTATCTAATTCCTAACACCACATTGGAAAGTACTAGGTACATAGCCTTTAACCAATGTGTATTATAAATGCACAATCTATACGAGAAGACAAAGCATGAGATGAAGCTGCTTACACATTTCGTCCAGGAGGATCTGTTTGAACTTGAGAGTTTCCTCGTCGTGGATCATGTTTTCATCCAGTGCTGACGGCAGGAACCCAAACTCCTCTGTGTTCATAATGAACATCTCCATCCCTGGAACAACAGTGAGGATGTTAAAACTTTTGTCCAACACGAAGAATAAAATTGTTCTCACCTGGAGCTTTCAACCAGTCATTCTGGTCTTCTTCAATAGACTGACCCAGTGAGACTTGGCTTGACACGTGGCTTCTCTGAAGTACTAGTGTGACGTCAACATACACATCAGAGTACCCAGATACCTTTGTGGTTCAAAAATATCTGCTAAACAATGTCGGGCCCCCACCAACAAATCATGGCCATAGCATGTTCATAACAAACAAACACAGGCATGCACACACACTGACCCAAAGATGAGGGTACGATGTCCAAACTGACCTGAAGTCCTGGCTGACCAGGCAAACTGTATGATGTCGTCCTCGGGGCCAAAGTAGTCCTCAGCAGGAGAGTCATAGTTGAGCTGCTTGGCTCCCTCCCTCCTCAGGTCCACCAGGTAGGTGGAGTGCACCATGGGTACTGGGAACACGCCTTTTCTTTTCCTCTCCACGGTCGGCATGTACTCCTCAGTACGCATGTAGTAACCCTGGGGCCACAGACATGTTAGTGTAACTATGGCTGTTCACCAGTATGATACAATGTACCATAGAAATCCTAGGTGCAATACCGAATGTCAAATTGAATACCATATATCATTTTTTAGAACATGCAATTCTAACTACAAAAAATGAGAACAATAAAAATATTGTCTATGCATGAAAATTGGTGACATATCAGAAAATGATCAAGTTCAGGTCTTTTCACGAGAGTATAGGCTCTCTAAATGAGATACCGAAAGTCCAAATAGCTGTTTCCAACTTTCCAGATATGCTTTCAATTGAACCTTTTGCATTTGAGAAAGAAGTTGAAAATGCTACAAAGGATAAAGTCATGGTCATCTGAGGATAGGTATAAAAGAGAACAATCTGGGTTGCATCCTTTTTGACCTTTGGTTTCAAGGGATTTGCTGCAGAGGATGAAGTCAGTGGGAAGCCAGCATGGAGGCTGGATCTTGTGAAAGCACAACGACTCAAGATCAACAGTAAGCACCTGTTCCCTTGTAAGCTGGTGACACCCTTACTTACAGAACATCACGCAAACATGAGAACATTGCAGTGACTGTGTTTTCCATTTAGTAGTATCATTTAACTGGTATAACCGCCACTCAGCATAACATAGTGGTCAGCTTGTTGGCTAGGAATTTCCAAATCAAGGTGATCTTAAAGGAAATGAACAAATGAAATTCAGATCTAGACGACATACACTGAAGCTTTTACACGTAGACATTCCTAAAAAAAAGCATGTGAAATTTTGGAAATCAGAAAATGGTATGATTAAAAGAAAGAAAGAACCAGGATAAAGGAATATAAATTTTTAGATCCACTTTCAGCTAAAACATAGCTACTTCGGCACACGCCACAGCAAGAAGAACAGGTGCTATATGTCGTGAAGTTCAATGACCTGGAGTTATTCTCCCTGCCTTTTATCACTAATCGGTATGATAAAAGGTGACCATGGCTAACAATGTCTGGTCCTAGGGACAGTAGCCTTTCTGTCATAGCGTGCCAGTTGTGTGAGCTACATCAGACAAGGACTTATACTCCTGACCTTATAGTCCAGAAACAGGGTTACTAGCCACTAGAGAAAACACACTATGCTATGGTAGGAAAGACCTGCAGAGAAAAAGAAAGCATGAAAGAGATCAAGGTCTCAAACCAGTCACGATAGGCGAGAGGTAATAAGTAGAAGCAGACATGATGTAGCGTGAGTAAGTCCAGTGGTTGTATGTTGTCCCCACCTCAGGACCAATAGGTTTGGAGTTCAAATCCCGGATATTGTTCTTTGCTCAACTTCACACGCAAGTGTTCCAGTTGTTAGATCTACGTTGATTAAAAAAGAGCATTTGGTCCAAACAACTACCCTGTAAAATTTCGTACATTTCCTCTGTCTTCCGGTCACTAACAGTGGAAAATTAGCTCCTCAAAAATAAACTCGGAAAAACTGGTGCTGGCCCTAGAGACTCTATAGCCCTGGTTTGAGACCACGTTCCCATCCAGACGTACCTTTTCCGTCATGCCGCACCAGAAGTTGGAGTACGCTGTGCTGCTCTCCAGCATGGGTGCGATGATGGGTCTATTCTGTGCGATCAGGAGCTTCATGGTGCGAGGGTTGGTCACCAGGTTATCCGCATCCAGGAACTGTCAGTCATGGAAACATAAACATCCGTAGTGTCAACACATGTCAGTCATAGCAACAGTGCTGCAACACTTTTTTTTTACAGTTGATAGGATATACAATGTAATTGTGCATTTCTCTGTTAAAGTATAATTTTACACAATGCAAGATGCTTTTGTAATAGCCTTGCCACAGCTTGCTTTTTTAACCAAACATACCATGCCAGGTCACCCCTACTCCTCTCCATAAGTGTGTTGGGTTCTTTATTGCTCATTGGCTTGATACAGTACTTGAGGTTAACACCCAATCCTCCCTACAGGACTGTTGGCTTTATGGTCCAAAATGATGATTGGGTGTCCAAGGTGACTGACTCACGGAATTTGATCCAAGGAGGTAGCACAGCTTAATCAAAGGGTCATTTTAGAATGATGTTCAGGTCTCTAACTGTCCTTTCAATTTGCTTGTAATGAGCTGCCATACAGTGTAATTTGATTATTGTCATTAGGTAATTGAAGAAAGCAATAGAAGGAATCCCTAGTGCATGTACTTCCATGACGTTATAAGAAGATTAAACTCTACCCTGATTTCCTTGCTTGAGATCTTGCCCTGACCCCCCAGCTAGATTTGACCAGATAAATACGGCATGTGCCAACTCATTCAGAATACTGTAAATTTCCTTTACTACTACATGTAGTACTTTCACATTTATATTTCACAGTAGGACGGAAAAGAAGGTTTTAAGATCGCGGCTGAGAAACTTCTGTAGTACAGTAGTCATACAAGGGAGACATATTCACTGTGTCATGAATTTGCATGAAGAGAACACTGCAAAAACTGTGGAAAGAAAACCGCTGTGAAAGTCTCAAGATGTACAGTACTTAGACATGTGTCTTACAGTAAGCTAGCCAGCTGCATGCCCCCTTGTAGCTGCAGACAGCTCCTATAGGAGACACACTTCCCTCATCCTGACAGCTAGACACTGTCTGGTACAGTGAAAACAACTTCCATTAGGATACAATTTAGGAGTGCTGATGCAACAAAAATGGTGCCACAAATTTGGAGGAAGTCATGACCATGTCACATACCATACAAGTAGGGCATCAATCTACACTAATGATTTGATTGAATTTGTTAAAGCAGAGAAAATTGTTTGGACAGAAAACCCTAGACGACTTGTGGAAACAGTCAGACTGACTGGTACATTTACTGTGACCTTGCTCTTGCCTGAGGGAGACTATATATTCCCACCACATGGAGTCAATCAACCACAATGGATCCCTAGATGGGACAATGCTAAAAGCCTAATACTATAGCAGTGGTCGAAATACTTTTTTTCAGTGTTCTGCAATATTGCAGAAGAGTCAAAATTTTGTTCTGCAATTTGGAAATACTATACTATATATTTGGATATACTACAATCTTGCAGGTTAATAAGCATGAACTACTGATTGATATGCAAATTAGTGAAGACAAATTTTTGGAAGTCCAAAAGGAAACAAAAGATAGACAAGTCAAGACAAAGTTGATGTAAATTAGTGAAGAAACTCCTGTTGTTTCAGAACAGGAGCTTAAGTGTTGTCTGTCCTTGGGGCCAAGAGCGCCAAATCCCAAGTGCCAATTTTTCCTGCTGCAAAATTGCAGATTGTATAAATTTTTCTTCTGCAATCTTTGAAATCTATCTGCAGATTGCAGACTGCAGACAGGTATTTCGAACACTGTATAGTAAAGAAGGGAAAGTTGTTGATCTCTTTTTTTGATAGCTAGTAGTGGAATACAACCTTGTCAAAGCTTACACCCCTATATTTTATACTCTTCTCAATACATGTAAATCTATTGGGTTCTTTTACGTGCAGAAGTTTGATACCTAAGGCTAGCACTTGATCTTCCCTATTCGGGACCACCAGATTTACGTCAGTGTCTGAAACTCTCAGTGAAACCCCTCACATTGTGACCAAGCAGGTTGGAACCCTCACTCTTTGGCTCCACATCCATATGTAGGATTTCATCCATATGGCCAAGCAGTGGGGTTGCTTACATGGTAGCAGTTAGTAAGCAGTGACAAATTTGATCCCTTTGAATAAATATGCTGTTAAAATGGACTCAAAAGACGTCATGTCTCTTATGCATGCGTGGGACAGAAGGCTGATGTCCCTTCCAAAGGATATGGTATTACTTAAAATTTCACAAATACGTCCAAGTCAGCACCAGAAGTGACCTTACAGTCTGGTCAAACAGAGGTTGGCTGGGGTCAACTTGTCAGTTGACTGAGGCGAGAAGACCCAGACTGCACTTGGAGAGTGACTACCTTGGACACGCATCTTCTAGAGAACTCTCTCGTACTTTAAGAGGAAAGTACAGTAACTATTCAATAACAAATCAAAGTTTGAAACCTCCATGAAGTATGTAAAAAGCTGATTCTGTGCATATTCAGAAATTATTCTATTACTTCCTCCCAGCCTGCAGCAAGACCATTTTGGCCTCCAATTTGACCTTCCTGTCAGTCTGCAGTTACAACTTACACCATTTCTCCCATCACTTCTCACCTCAACTGTGACTCTAGAGTACTGTACTCAAATAACTAGACACACAAACGAACAAACTTCCTAACAATAGAACCTCCATACACCAAAGTAAAAAGAAAGCTCTTCCATTAGCTATATCAAGGTCAAGGTAAAAGATTTAGAGCATTAAAACCTATTGGATGCTTTGGAGCTCAGAGTTCATTGACCCCTGGTAGTGATCATGTGTTGATCACATGCTCAGCCCACAGCACATGAACTACATCATGACCTCTAGTAACCTCACCACCTGTTTAGACTAGAGGCAGCCAGACTGGAAAGGCAGCCATTCCAGAGTTGGGGGTTACTTATATACCCTACTAGCCTGGAAGCTTTCCAGGTCAGCTCAGTTCCCATTTTTCACTCCAGTCCATCAGATCATAGCGAACGTTAAAACTCTTGCCAACATGGCACACAGCCTGTACGTACATGTATATCATCATACAGTACACTTTTGGTGCTTACATACAGAATTCCTTGGTGTGTCGCCAAGCTAAAACCATTGCTCAGACAAAATGTACTTTTGACCTTCTAGGCTCGATAAAGCATGTAAAATGTTTTCTTGCCCTCTCAGCTAATATTTCAGAGATATCTGAGGAGGGTCAGCATGGGGGGATCCTGCCAACACTTAGCGATAAACTATAAGGACGATGCATACACCAGTAAATTTAGGAGGCCAATTTAAATTCAAACCACTCACAATGTTGAAAAGAAGGCTTCCATGGTAGCTTAGCTCCCTGGCATCTCTGTTTCTCCTAGCAATCCTGGTAAAGCCTAGAGTAAAGCTATTGGTCTGTTCTTTATTTCCTGTTCAAACATATCCCAGGGCATACACATGTCTGTAATTAGGGCATTGATATGAGAATGATGAGAGTCCTGTTGACTGGGTCAGCACTGATAATGTGAAGACAGGTATGACTGGGTAGTATCTGTACAGAGCTAGTAGAGTACAGTGGACAATGGTGGAGTTCTTTAGTATAGTAGAAGACTTACATTGCGTTGTATTGCTTAGAAGGATTGGGTTGTGTAGTTTTGATCCATATCTCATTTTAATGAATAATGACATCCTGAATTCAGTTTTCCTTCCTTCCTTCCTGAATTCAGTTTACTGGTTAGAAAGACAGTAGATGACATCCGATTGATCAAAAACACGAGGGTCTAATTAAGTCCAAGATAACAGAAGGGATAAAACATTTTAACATTGGATAACAGCTGTATAAAGAATACTTTGGCCAAGCTATAAATTAATTAATTTTTGCAAGGATTTCATTTTATGAAACAGTCCTACTTTGTCCAAACACAAAGTAACCCAACCCCATAGGGTGTCTGCTACAGCACCAGTTACCATGGTGACAGACATCTGGTCCAGGTCATTGTCCTTATATGAAAGTGAGCAAAAACAAGGTAAACATAATTACTTACAAGCATGAAGTCTGCCCATCTTTTTCTGGCGTACTCCAGTGCCTGCTGTCGTAACTTGATGACGTGTCTTAGTCTGGTCTCCGACCAATGGTTGGCTCCCTCCTCATCAGGGAAGTAGTTGGGAGAGTCCTGGTGGTAATAGTCGACATGGTGGTACAAGTGCCCTACATGATCCAACCACTCCTGGATTACTGCTGATGTGTTATCTATGTTATGGTCACTCTGGATCCTGGAACAAGGAAAAAAAGGAAATATCAAGTTAGACCAATAGAAAGAAGGTATTGCTTTTGAAAGGTCTTGGCTTTATTATGGTCACTCTGGACCATAGCATGTTCAGAACTGGAGATAGTATAGGCACTGCAGTACCAAGGACAGCCACTAGCTATAGGAAACCCCAAATCACCATGACCTAATCTGATTACTTACTTACTTGGGCCCTTGGCCATAAATTAAATAAATAAATCCTGTTGAGACCTACCAAACATAATTATCAAATGTCATTGTTTCCTAACCAATTGTTACACTGACCAAAGTAGGTCAGAAACATGAATAAATATGACTTACTTTTTGGAATGAAATTTTATTGGAACAATATCTGCAATAATTTTATTGATGGTTGTGTTTTTGGTGGTGGGTAGGATACCGGTATGTTACTTACAGACAATAATATAAGTGGTTCAGTGTTGGAATCGATTCAAGCAAGAACTGTGGGGTTGCTGCATTCACAGCGGTCGCCATCTGGTCTACAAATATTTACTAGGCAACAGCTTGGAAGTTAGGAAATTGTGAAGGTACATGTATACCACTGACTCCACTGATCACTGCCAAATTGGCTCTGATCTACATGTACTGGCACTGATCTACATACTTGTAGATGTTGTAGAAGTTAAACCCTCACTGCTATGTATATACATGTACGTAGTATGTTGAGCCAAATGTGGCTGTGGTTTGGCTGATACCTGAAACAATTTGCGTGTCCAACTGTCTGTTTGAATCTGTCCCAACTTGGGAGGTGCGCACAGTGGTGCTGCCATCAGTGTCAGGCACACTTGGTTTGGTGAGTGAGCCAAGAAGACGGTATTGCCAAAAAGTCATTTGGAACCTTCAGCTACTATACCAGTCACATTAGAAATACCTACTTGTAGTAACCTTTTATTTACTAACAGTCAAAAGCTGCTACCATAAAGTTCCCAATTACATGCGGACTTTAAATAAAGCACTCCCAATTCAGTGGCAACTGCAGGCCAGACTGAAAAGTTGAAAGGAAAAAACAGTCTGTCCAGCTAGCCTTTTGGTGGCTTGCCAGGATGTTGACATCACCACTTCTAGAATTTCTTTCCAGATAAAATGCCTATTCTGCAGGATGCTAACAATAGTATGTCTATAAGCCTTGGGAAAACCGACACCGTTTGATAGGTCAAGCTGCTATGACCTTGGGGTGAACTTACGACCATCAACAAGTAATTGTGTACATATGTGCTGCTTACTTATGTGCTGTGTACATATGTAGAATACATTCAATTATACAATGTACATGCTGGGCTATCAGTAAGAAACTGTAATGCCATGCACAGTAGGTTACAACTATCAAGACGCCTAATGACATTTTACTACATTTTATGGGGAATTGGCCAGGGGTTTTATCTCAAAGCAGATGTTGGGGTAGAAATTTTATATTTTATTTGCCACTTCTGTTATCACTCCCACAAGAATCAGTGAAGCCAGTTTTGCACCTAACATCTGCTTTGAGAGTTTAGCTAGGATTGAGGTTCTGGATTTATGTTCTCTACATGATAGGGTCATGGTAAACACTGTTTAATTTGTACTTGGTAATGCCCTTATCATTTGTGTTCTTGAGCAAAAGGTCATTGACTCTCGGCTGTCAGACAACATGCTGTATCCTTCCTCTGTGTTATAAGCACAGCTGCTGCCATACCGGCTTCTAAGTTCCTTACAACAACATATAGGAGTTGCAAGATTTTATCTGAAGTCCCGATATTGTAAATCCATACTGTTTGGCCCTCAGAAACTCAATGTTCCTTGACACAGAGGAACTATGAGAGGAATTTCTAGAATGACCCTATCGGATGCACATGTCAAGTGCTGGGTTTAGGTTGTGGCCTGGCCTTTCAACTGGAGACATGTAGACTAAACATACAAATGGACACTTAGGACAGACATAGCCCAAGCTTATTGGAGGAGAATTTAGAGTTAGTTCACATTGACAATGCCACTATTGTTTTTAGTATAAGAGTCTGCAACTGTTCTTTCGCAATGTCTAGACAGAAAGGTAGCTATAGTGGGGAAAGGAAGTGTCTGTATCAACCATAGTATGACAGAGCGTACTTGTGGTGTGGCAAGAGGTCACCATGTAGTCAGCAAACAAGAGACCAAGACGACGGTTTCACAATTTATGATACTTCTCCTTCTAGTAGTGCTGGTGAGATACAAAATGGACAGCTTTGACCATGAACATCTCTAACAACTCTAACAGTCTCTAACAACTATGAACTACAAACCTGGCAACTTGAGATTTCTCATAAAAGACTGATACACAAACCAGCTGTAACAGTGCATATTTGTAATGGTCCATCCAACTGAACCCATTCCTACATGTAACTACTGAGAAACCAACTGTGCTAATTGAAACAATATTTACCGTGACCTGTACTTAGTTCACAATGAGCAAAAGTGTACAATAAAGCCTTTTAAGGTCTTTCTACTCTACTCTAATTAATGGCAGTCTCAGCAGATGTTGCATGCTTTGCTACTACAATGTACTGTACATTCATTTACTTTCACAGTGATATTTTGTGGTAGGAGGGAAATGGGGATTTTTTTGCAGTGTTTTGAGTTTGTGGTTGAAACAACTTTTTAGTTCAGTAGAAAAGTAAAGTTTTGCATCATGACTTTGCTGTGCAGAGGTCACCTCAAACATAAAACCACAGCAAAAGCGTAAAGATTTAAAGTATTCACATAGACCCTACTACACTGATGTTCGTACCTTTGTTAGGAAACAGCTGTTGTAGGGTTGCCATGGTATCTTCTTTGTACAATGCTACAGCTGTGTTCTTCAAACAAATTGAGATTCAAACCATTATACACATCTAGATCACTAATGACCAACTTTTATGGCATGTTCTAAACATAATACACATCTAGTGCAAAAACGTGGGAACACAAGTAGCTACAGACTTTCTTTCTCATAGTGTCAATCCTTGATGTCACCTAGTTGACTAGAACCCTTTAGTAAACGAGAACCTTCCCTGAAGGATGACCCATGCCCTCAGGCCACAGGAGAAAACAGTTCTGGAACTTGGAAGGACATAAATCTCCTTTATACTTATAGAGTCACTATTACTTCAGTCTGTGGAGAATTGTAGGGGAATTGTAAGACCACCTGGCACCAGTTAGCATAAAGGGCTAAATACAAGTTAGCATTATCATTGGTTACAAATTACAATTGAATACTGAATAAAAAATCAGATATGTATTCTACTTTCATTGGTAGTTGCTAAGCAACAAAATGAAAATAATTTTGCGCCTACATAAAGTTTTTTGAGTTGTTGTGAATTTCTTGTTTATTCATTATTGTTATGTAATATATCACTGATTCTGTGTCTGTGTATTTTTCTACTTAGTACTGGCAGTGGCAGCCATAAGGCAACAGTCATGGATACAGCAGGAAACCGAGGACAGAAAACGAGATGACCTCTGTACATGTACTTCCTCCCAGTGTCCCAGTCCACCATTTCACTTTGTGTCAGTGTTACTCTACTACCTATGTATATTCAAATAACTTCAGACACACAAGCAAGCAAACAAACAAAATTTATCTCTGAACACAAAGAAACAAAGCTAGGCTGTCAAGGTCTGAGTCAAAAAGTTGAAACCAAGTCATTCACCCTATCATATATTTCTACTAACATTGGTTCTCCCTACAGTTGGCATTTTTTTGGCACTGCATATTCCACATCAATTTACATAAAAGGTTGAATGAACTCACAGTAAGGAAAAGGCGGTTGCCCTTGGTTACCAGTAGTAAGCACACCTGGCATTTTCCTGGCAAGCCCCCCTGGCAGATCAGAAAAATCTTGGAGTTGGCAGAACTAGGTCAACTGGAAATTTATTTGTAAGTCTAGCCAAATAAGGCTTGTCGCAAATCCCCGGCTAGTGTTGTAATTGGATTTGAACCAGCAGCCTATGTTTGAAAAAGGCCTTACCGAATGTCTGCTACAGTTTTTTCCAGGGTTAATCATGTATGCGATGTTGAGGAGGTTTCCTGAAGTTCAAGTGAGTTTGTCTGGTACCACCAGGGACTGAGCCAGTGGATGACTTCACTTGGTAAAAATGCGATAAGGCTTACCACATAACCATGAGGGAGTTTATGAAAGCTGCACTAAGTCCTTTTAAAAACCTCATTGGTTTGACCTTTTTGTCATAGGTTCAGTGAGAAATTGTTTGCTCCTTCTTATTCTAGACAAACTAAAACAACTTCTAAGACTGTTTTGATAACAAAGTCCCCCAGGTTTTTCATATGCAAAAGTCCATATTCCCTCCTCCTGGCAAACTGGTGTGACATTACTTACTACCTAGTAAAGGCAAGACTTCAAAAGGATGTGGCTATATTCAGTTCCACGTAAAATCCACATGAACACCTTCATAAAACCAGCACACAGTGCTAAAATCAAGTGTACTGTTTTTCTCCAATCTGATAGACCCTCTTCAAACAGAGATACTAATAGAAATGTGTGCTCTGTCCCAAACTGTTTGTTCTGGTGTTTGCATACTGACTCTATAATCAGATTAACGATCAATCACGGTCAGGCAATTAACTAGGAAGCTAGAACGGCTCTCTCAATGATCCTGAGAATGTAGCACTTGCATGTGCCCGGCCAGCCTGTTGACCTGGGACTGAACTGAAAGGATAAGCCTAAAACCAATGTACAGCAAAGGCAGACAGAGCAGAGTACATATAGAGTTCCCCAGGCTAGGTAGGGCAACATGTGCTGACAGAAAATCAGGAAACAATCAAGCTTCTGGATAAAGGAGACCCTGGGGACCAGATTATGCAGATGTTATTATTCTTACTAAACTAACACTGCCTACTGTCTATCATGTGCCTATGCCATAGTAGCTGGCCCCTTACTACCCTCCCTTACTCAGGATCCTACTACTACAACTAAGTAACACACTGATGCTGATTTTAGATTTGTGTTGATAATATTAGCATAGATATCATCAAGACAACTGATGATTTGCTATCAAGTGTCAGGTCATGTATGATACATAAGGGTGGCATCAAATTATGCAGATCCCTTTCTTCTTGTCTCCCACTACGTCATACCAAGGAATTTATACACAGACTTGGTCATACTTACAAAGCTCTAGAAAGAGTAGAAGTAGTATTTAAGTTAATGTGAAAAAAAGTTTCTCTTTTGATTCAACCAAATATGAGATTGATAAATGCATTATCTACTAGTATCTCACAATCATGCGGTAGTCTTTGAAGGCTCGGGCTGAGGTCTGTGGTTTTTCCTGCCCCGTCCCGCGTCTGTAGGGCGCGTACCGCCCCAGACAGACCATTATCTAGGACATCTGTGTCCACATGGCAGACCGTTAGAAACAGCCCAGAACGGGCACCAAAAAAGTCACCCTGCCTCGAGCCATTTCTGATCCGCAGTTTACCATAAAATATCGCTAGCATTACGGAACTTTTGATCGCATGTAAACCGCAAACCACTCCCGGAAATCCCAGCCAAGCGGAACGAAAAAGTTTTCTCCCCTGACCCTACCGCTGCAGATTCACCAAGTTGACAAAATCTAAACGTGATACGGCACTTGGCTTGATCTCGGTATACTAAAAGCTAAGCTGTGTTTGACATTGCACGCCTAGGTGAACAGAGACAAAACAGACCAACAATTGAACAGTGTTTTGTAAACAATAGGAATGAAATTTGCAGACGACGGAACTCACCAAAGTGCCATTCGGCTTTTCGGGTAGTCCTGACGCTCCAGGTACCCCAGAGTATATGGCAGGGAATGTGCCTTGTTTCTAGCCAGGATTGCAACAAAAATTGTCGGCCATTGCATTCTCTCGGGATCCAACGATTCTAGTTGTTCAAAGCTTCCCGAAAGTGTCCAGAATAGCGGTGTCAGCAGCAAAATAAAAGCAAATCTTAGCAGTGAAACGTGTACAATCCCCGAAATCGCCGCCATCTTTATGGAATCTGCCACTGCCTTTCTCGGGGTGTTCAGGTCTAGATTTTTATTCGATTTTTATGCTCATACATAATCAACAAAACTATTATTTTGATAAATATATATAATACAATTAGTTAGAACAAGTGTTATAAATCTCAAAATCACTGCTAACTAATCTTATTAAAAATTTAATAATTACCCCTATTTTATAAATAGAATATCCAGGCGCGGCTTGAGAAATGCATTGTGGGATGCTATGACGTCTTCGAAATTTGTATTATCATAATTTATGCATCCTTCATTGGGACGCCATCTTGGTTCGCCAACGTAGAGAAAATACTAAAAGAAAATCCAGTGCCATCCTTGGATAATTCGACGGTATTCGCCGTAAATTGTCTCTCAGACATAAACCCAGAAGAACGGGCCGAGGTAAGGCTGTATATTTTGTGACTTTTCAAAGTATTTTGTATCAAAGAATCTGTTATTTGCCAGACATCGTTCCCGACACAAAGCCGTCAGATTTTCGGCCTTGGGTGGAGAACCGATCGTAAAGATTGATTGTGCAGGTCGAAGTATTGGGCATACGTGCCTTTATAGGACATTTGTTGACTAAGAAGAACGCAACAAGTCGGTTGTGTGTTGCCTGGTCGCTCTGTGGAACTTAGAGGAAACGTTCTGTCGACAGGAAGCAACTGTTCCCGATGAGGTCACTTGATCAATCGCCCTGATCAGCTTCCAGTTAATGAGCCAGAAGTGAACCTGTTGTGGTCTTTAGATTTTGTCGCTAAAACTTTTTCCACAAAGTACATAACTCATTTGTCACAAATAGCTCTTATCACCATTCCCAGTTAACCAAATGACGCACGTAGTAAAAATATACAGTATCAATATTATGAGGTGACGGACGCGTCGCATTCTCCGCTGTGAAAAATATTTTCCTTGACTACGTGCGGGCCTCTTTCCGTTGACAGACGGAAAAACAGCGATGTATTTTGTGGCTATATGACTTTTCGCAGTAATAATGTGACAAAATCCGTACAGATTTACGTTAACGTCACTTGGTTATGGCAAATTATTTGTGTAAAAATTTATATTATGGCTTGGGATGGGGAGGGGGGTGCTATATCAGAACATGTCACAATTTTTTGACACGGGATGTGTATTCCGATTCTTGATTAAATGGTTGTATAAGCAGTTTCCTTTGTTCATCATACGGTATAGTTTCTGCCCATCATAATCAATAGACTAGTATTTACAGCAGCTGTTCAAAAGACCTACAATAAGGGACAATTCTCTAGAAAGGACAATAACAAATTGATTGGCATGAACAAACAGGGCTAGGTCTGAAGCTGGCTCATATTATTTTTGATTAACCTTAAGTGAATGTTAAGATAACTTCTTCCTTCTTCCCATATAAGCCTGCATTCATGCTATTGAATATTCTGGATGATAATATCATTTGCTTAGAAGTTTGATGGAAAATTGTGGACCCAGTTGTTTGCATACCTAATCATGATTTTCAGTGATTGGGGAATATAGTCATATACATGTCTGTATGTATATGATTTACACGTGTTCCTCTGATTGTACAAGTTGTTTCCTATGAATAACTCCATATAGCACTCCAATTGAAAGAGTGTTGCATATGATGATTTACATTTTGGTGACATCCCAGCGGTATGGTCCACTGGGAAGGGTCTACATTATTTATCCATTGTGTGCCCCCAATAGGCCCATTTACCTCACTCCCCTGTAAATAGACAAAGATCTGTCACCAGCCTTTGTTCTATATGAAGCTGGCAGGTCTATTATTACAGGGAGGCTTAATATAATTGCTCCAGCTTGAATACTGTTGACATGATGTTACAAGTACAGACTAGATTAGTTGAATTTCATGTGACAGTTGGCAACAGCTTCAGCCGCTTTGGAAAATTTAAAGAATAAGAGAACATGTAAATGATTGTTTGGTTCAGGATGGAAACTAGTATGGTTTTGAGTCCCTCACATCATAGGTCAAGCAGGTCACAATGGATTCCTATATTTGACCTTGGTATATGCATGTAAGTCTGTTCATTGATGCCTGACAGATAGGCCCTTCATGATGCTGCATGATTTGAGTATATATCATTTGACTCATAGCTAGCATTACTGATGTGCCTTACATGTAACTAGTATACTGGAAATGGTAAAAACCTACTCGATTTGCATCTTTGAAAAAGTCCAATCATAGAGACTGGGGTTGAGATATTTGCTTTCCATCCAATTGTCAAACCACTTGAAGTACACATCAATGATTGAGAAGACAGCCAGGAAATAATCTGTAATCTTATTTTTGTGAACACTTGAGGATGAATTTTTTTGCTCTGATCTTTTGGTATTCCATGTCTGATATGCCATCTTTTGTTTACACCTAATATAGAAGTAGACTGTCAGTCAGGCTCATTAAGACCATCAACTTGGAATATCATTCTTACTTATTTATATTTATGGATTTTGCTACATCCCATAGCCGAATATGCAGCTGAGTCCATGGAAGGACCACCTTGGTTCCAGTTCTGCTTTCAGTAAACAATACATGGTTGAATGAACAGTACTAGCTGTAGTTACACATCCTCCTTCGCAGGGCTAAAATCCTCCGGTTCCCTTCCGGTTTTAGCCCTGCTATTTACCGCTGACAGTTTGACTTCTGGTGACGTCACCGCCAAACTGCTGTCAGCCAATCAGAGAATTTGCGCACCGAGCTTTGCGCAAAAACCGCAAAGGTCGCTGGGAACCTATTAGCCAATCAGGTTACGTCTTACATTCCCATGTTGGGACAGGCCAAGATGGCGGCTATTACAGATACTAGAAGTTTCGTGCGAGCCGTGCAAGAGTCGAGCCGTGCAAGAGTCGAGCGGCTTCGTGAGCATCAGCAGTCGATGCTACGGGCGCTGCTTGATGGCAGAGACGTTTTTCTGAGTGTGCGGACAGGAGGAGGGAAGAGCCTGTGCTATATGGGCTTCTCAGCAGCGGCCAAAGCCCTGGCCAAAGCCAAGACAGAGTTAGGGCAAGCCCCCCGACATCTGATTGGTTTGTGCCAAATAAGGCAAGCTCATGAATTATTTATAAGTGACGTCACCAGAAGTCAAACTGTCAGCGGTAAATAGCAGGGCTAAAACCGGAAGGGAACCGGAGGATTTTAGCCCTGCGAAGGAGGATGTAGTTACAAGGCAACTATATCTGCAAGGTCTTTCTTGTTGTAAAGGTCTTACAAAATGGCTATTCTACAGACTCAGAGCCTTTCACCCTTCCCTGCTTTCTTCTTTAATTACATGTCATTAAATTTTCTTTGCTTCCTACTCCTTCATTTAGACAAATTATGGACCCCCCAGGGCACAACTGGCTTCACTTTCTTGGAAACTGTTGCCAGTTCACTTGCATTCATTGCTCGAAAGGCTATGATGATGTAACATCAGGAAATGGTAGCCTGCTTACAGATGTGTGTACTGAGGTTTCTTCTAAAGTGGCAGAAGTGACACAGCATTTTTAATCTTGATGGTAGTTTTTGAAAGCAGGATGACATGAAGCCTTTTTTGTCCTTTACAATGCATAATTGAAAGTCATGGCTGTGCTGTCAGCCCATGGATACTAGGTAAATATTAATGACAGATTCATTATTGACCAGTATGATGGGCATGATGCCAATTTTGTGTGACCTCTGGACTGTTCTCTAATTGTGGGGTCCAGTGTACCCTAGTCTACTGGCGTACATCAGGAGTTACATACATAATGTATTTTCCCTCTAACAATATTTTATGAGTTGATCTTACGGTAAGTTACCTTTGACAAATGGACTAACAGATCTGTTTCATGTGATTGCAGAAAGAGGCACGTTCATAGGGTGCCGTTAGTGCAGCCACTCGATGACCTTCATTCAGGATGTCCGAGCGCTCGGGGAACACCGCCAAGGGGAAGGATACTGGAAAGAAGTACTCCCAACTCAACCTATACAACACTTATAAGGGCAAGAGTGTAGAGCAACAAAAGACAACAAGTACGTTAACCCATTTTCCCTGGTGAAGGCTTCAGCCGCTTGCTTTGAATGAAACTTTACAAATTCTGGCATTTCAGCTTACAGTTAACTTCTCAAGCTCAGATCATTTTGTTCGACTATATAGATGCTATAAAACCTTAAGTTTGTGAGCCTCTTCATGTAGCAGTTGCTAATAGTTTCTCCTTTTTTTTTCCAGCAATCAAACATGGCTTACAGAGTCTTGGCAAGGTGGGCACCGCTCGTCGGATGCCCCCACCGGCAAACCTTCCTAGTTTGAAAAGCGAAAACAGTGGAAACGACCCGAACGTGAACCTTGTGCCAGCAGGAGGGTCAGGATGGGGTGCTTCAAAGGACAAGGACAAAGACAGGTATATTTCTTTTATTAAGGGGACATTCTGAAAGCATCTGGTGGATAGATTGTGAAACAATGATTTCTTAATTTCAGTCCAAAATTGTGTAAGTTTGTTAAAACTTAGATGTTTTTATGGTAAATTTGTTATGATTCTGACGTGTTGGTCATTATGTGTTGTCTGCAGTACTACTTCTTCAGCAGCCAATCAGCAGCCGGAACAGCAGCCGCCGCAGGCTTCACAGCCGTCGGCAACCTCACAGGGGCAAACTTCCACAGCACAGAAGGTAGCTGTCCCTCTCCCGCACAGCATTTCATCTGTAGGGCTCTGAGGACTGTCACTATCAGTGAAGCATCCAGACCTAGATACCCAAAATGCTTCAGCTTCACAGAGAGAGATAGAGATGCTATATAGAGTGCCTGTCCAGAAATTTGTAACATGAGGGAATAGTGAAATGCTATCATGGAAGTTTTGCATAGATTGGTTTCAGTATTCCATAGTAGTAAAACTTGAATGCAGTAAAGCACTACATATAGTATTGGACTAGTCTTGATAATTCTGTTCATGTTATTTTTCAGACATGGAAACAGGCAGGTGCAAAACCAGAGAAGAAAGGAGGTAAGTTACCATCTATGAACATAAAATG